TTTTCCCGTACTGTTGCGGGAAAATGACACTTCCCAAACTAAATTGCGTGCGGGTATAGGGTGAATCACGCACGCTTGTAGAAAAACTATATATTAGCACTGCTCGGTATAGATAGGGTTGACAGAATAAAATCAGTCCCTCTGAAACCTTGCACCTTCATTAACACTCAACACAATGTATTCTTTACAACGCTTCAAATAAGAATGAATCAACCTAAAATGCCTCCTGATCGGATGCAGTCATTTGTAGATAGGTGACTAAACCTTATGTAACCACTAACTGTAGCTCTGTGCTTCTAATGGTACAGTGCGTCCGGCATCTGGCTAGTCGCTAACATATATGATAACAATAATTAATCAGATCCATTACATTCTTCACTACTGCCTTACCAGTTAGTTAACTGGTGGATGGTTATTTGAGAAAAACCAAACTGGAACTTTATCTGCAGGGTATCATTATTTGAAGGATAACCAACTAGCGGATATAGAATCGACAATTAATAAGACGGACTCACTGACAAGCTCCTTTTTTGCGCATTTCAACATCCATATCATGTTGTTTGAAGAGAGTCATGTGATAAATTCCGTGCGCATTTACATTCGCTCGCATTGGGCTGAAGCCTTGCTCTAAACGGACAATAATACAACTATATCTGACGATACTCGCAGCCTCCACAGGTTTTTTTTCGCAAAAAACAATCATCAGATGACAACGAGAATCTCAATAAGTATAGCACTAGTCAAGTACCTACTAAGACAATGAACTTGGAAAGAGGATGAAAAAATTATCTAAGGAAGGAAGGAAGGGAGGAAGAAAGGAAGGAGACATGCATAAAGGAAAAAAAAATGAAAGGTGTTGATAGTGTTGAATTAGTTGGCTATTCATGCAGTAAACATCACATAGTAATCATATATCTACAAGACACCAAAAACAGTAGTATAAGTAACAGGTTGATATACTTCTTCTTCAACTCAATCCATTCACAGTTGCAATTTTTCCCCTGTACAGCATCTTCGCCGAATCAAAGAATTCAACTTCAAAATGTTGTTACAGTGTTTCCATCCTCGGAATCTGAAAAATCCCTAATAATCTGTACATCATTCAACAATCTCACAAGGATGACTATCACTCGCGAAATGCAAATTGTAGTCAGAGCTGAGAATTATTTTCTGAATAATCATTCAAGCGTTAGTGTCTGAGGATAAGTGGAGATCGAATTAGTTATTTATGTAACAATTGTGTAAAGTGGTACTTCTTGAAGAGTATGGGAAATGTTGACGGCAATTCATATGAGTATGTCAATTTATTGATAACACCTGGTTTCTGAGGACGAAATAGCCAGAGCCACCTTCGGCTAATTTGAATAAATCGCTCATCCCGCTAGTTTTAAGCGATGCTGATGAAATCATACATGAGATACGAGCATATTATCATCTAATACGGAAAATATCGTGGCGTCTTCTTCATGCTCCCATCTCTATTTCACTGGCACTCCATACAAAATACAAAGTCAGCCGCCTTGATTTGTTCGCTTGCTGCCCTGCAGAATCCCATAAAGAAGCCCATAGACTGCGTTATTGGTGGGCTGTTTTGTTCGTCGAACAAGTATGTTCGACCCAAAATGAACCAAAAAGTGCGAAAACGACCATTTTGCAACCACACACTTAGGTTCTGCGTCTTTTTTGTTCGAACAGACTTGTTCGTCGAACAAAACAGCCTGCCAACAACGCAACAATCGTGAAAAAAGATTACTTTTTTCACACTTTCTCGTGAAATTATGAAACAGTATAATGATATCGAGAAATGGGACACTTAAAGCACACAAAATATATTGAAAAAGTGCAGTTTTTTTGACAGATGTAGGAAAATATAACTTTTTCGTAAAATTATGAAACAGTATAATGATATCGAGAAATGGGACACTTTAAGCACACAAAATATATTAAAAAAGTGCAGTATTTTTGACAGATGTAGAAAAAAATTCAAATTTTTGTGATTGATGTCATTCCACCCAATTTAATCTGCGCCGTGACCCGAACACTGCACCAAGTGGAAATCATGACACCGACGACATTGTCTCTCCCCCAATGAAGGATGAAGACACAATTTCACCCTCGATCGACCCTGCACCATAGATGCACCCTCGCATCGCATATATATCACGGTTAAAGAGCAGCGAAGGCGGAGATGTGCTGAGACAGGGGCGTCACGTGATCGCTATCACGATGGTCTAATTTTTTCGCACCCTCGGTATTTTACGCTACAGGTGCGGGTAATTGGACAGGCTCTAGCAGGGAGAACAAAAGGATCCGCATGTCGGCTCGGTCCCTAAAATGCATTTTTGTTGATTGAATGGTATTTGATTTGACTATTTCAACGCAACAGACGACTTTCTGGCATATATGCCGGTGATGTCTGGATCCGAACCGTCAGCTGGTTATGATCAATTTTTTTTTCTGGTTCCTACGAGAAGGGATATTCTGTAATGTGCAGAGAACATCGTGAGAATTAAGGGAAATGAGGTAGGAATTGGTGTTCTTCTTGACTTTCTGGAGGTTATATGCCTCGGCGAACACCTCCCTTAGCAATGTGTTCCAGAGCCTCGCTGTTCGTTCGATGAACGAGTCTCTAGAAAGAGATGTTCTGCAGGTCTCTATCAAAGTGACCACGAAGGGGTGCGAAGCCTGAACTCGACAGGTTAATCTCGCGGGGACTGCCAAGGGAGGAAAAATTGTTGATATTTCAAAAGAGCATCGTCCATGAAAATATCTATGAAATAGAGGCAGATCGCCAACTTTTCTACTGTATTCCAGAGAAGTGAGTGAGTCTGTGAGCGAGGCATCACCCACGAGACGAATTGCCTTTTTTGGGCAGAATCCAACAGTTCCAGGGTATGTTCGGGTGCTGCACGCCAAATATGGAAACTGGAACTGGAACTGGACTGGAAGTGGAATAGCTCCTGGCCCGAAACAGAAAACCAAGTTTTTGGGATGCACTTTTAGCAATTGATCTCACGTGATTTTCCCAATGAAGGTTATTGCTGATAGTAATACCAAGCATCGAAATGGATGACTTCAAAGGTATGGTTACTCCTGAAAAGCTCATGTTGGGCACAGTGAGATCGCCTTTTCTAGAGAATAGGCATGCTTGTGTTTTGTTTGCATTGAAATCTACCAAGTTATTGGATCCTCATTCGAGAATTGTTGCCAAGTCCATATTTATGTTGCCCCTGTTATCCCTTGTTCGTTTCTGATTTGCCTGGCTGGTATTGGAGCCCTGGAAGAGAAGGCGGTATGGAGGGTACTATCATCCACGAAGCTTTGTACTGGACATGAAGATGCTTCCAACAAATCGTTCATATGGAATAGAAATAGTGTTGGTGCTAGAGTTGATCCTTTCGGAACACCAGCATTTATGATAAGAGAGTCAGATGAAACTCCATCGACCTCTACATGGAGAGACCTGTTTGAGTGAAAACTAGCTAGTAGCGAACATAGCTGCGGAGGCAAGCCATAAGATGGAAGATTGGTGAGGAGTCCGTGGTGCCAGGCTCGATCGAATGCCTTGGAGATATCAAGTGTCACGGCTAAGGTTTCATCACCATATATAAATTGAATAGATTCATTGAATAAATGGGAATGATTCGGTCAATCAGAAACCAACGAATTATCATTCTCTCGAAACGGAAGTGAATATATCTGAAAGTAATAGATTGAAACAAGTTTTCATAATTTTTGATTTTGCCACAGAAGCAATAGCTCGTCTTATTGAAGCATTTCGAGATCATAACATTCATAACATTGAAGAGCCATGATTCTTAAAAGGCAGAAGGATAATTTGATGTATAATAAAAGTCATGGTTTGTATGAGCATTGTTAATATAAGAATTCAAAATATGTATGTAGAGACATCAATCAGAAACATGCTTGTTGATGGTTGAATCTATGATCTTGTATAGTAAAACTGATGGGTGCACTGGAATAAGGAAGATATCGATATATCGTTCTATAATTCTCTAGATGAGAAGTTCTTGGTAATTAGTTGTGTGTAGAGGGTGGACAAATTGGACACTTTTGAAGAAAAAGTCCTATTCTCGAACCAGATGGAAGAAAACGGATGTCGGTGTCTGAGGGTCGATTCTCATGAACAACTCAATGGTGGAAACCTCATATTGATATCTATCTTCGTTTCGGAGTTACAAGGGCATCTTTGAAAAGTGGCTACAGATATTTTTTTTTGCAAAAATTTTCTGTTCTCATGGAAATAACTGCAAAGCATAGAGTTTGTGATAACAACTGTAATCGAGGCACTGAAATCGGCCTTCCCATATCTAGTTCAAGAATATAACTTGTTCTTCAATGCTTTGGGAATGTTTTCATGAGAAGAACTTTTGACAAAAAAAGAGTTTTAGCCACTTTCCAAATGTTCACATTTTCGAAAAACACCTTGTTACTCTGAAATAAAGATATAGATATCGATATGCAGTTTTCAGGCACCGACATCAGTTCCAGTTTTATTCTATCTCGAACGGGAATAGGACTTTTCCTTCAAACGTGCCGAATTTGACCCACCTTGTACATAATTTTTCCATCATTATATAACAAATCACAATCCAAAAATTGATTAGGTTGACTAAAGATCAAAAATTGAAAAAAGGGTTAACTTACCTGGAATCCCATGAGGTTTTCAAAAATAGCAAAATAACTGTGGTTTGCCATTTAAAATTTTAGGGGTAAATGAATACAAAAAGCTAAAAGTAATTTCCACAAATTTTCATGAAATGGACCGTGATGTCCGTGAAGGTGTTTGAGGTCGACGAAAATATTCAATATGCACCTCAGCGAAAAACTGTATATTGTTTCGCCTGATTGCTAGCCTCGGCTAAGGCCCCGGCTATCAATTTGCAGACTCGACTATAATAGACAGTTTTTCGTCCTTGGTACACAAATAACTATTTTCGTACAAACTTTTGCCATCGTGTAGTGATTATTCTTCGCAGGTTATTCATTAAGAAATGCCTCGGGTGTTCGGAAAGAGTCTCCCCCGAGGAATTGGTGATGAGGGCGAGCGACAATATTTTCCACCTGCGGTGTTTCGTGTGCGTGGTGTGCGGCATAAGGTTGCAAAAGGGCGATCTCTACGTCATCAAGCAGGGACAACTTTTCTGCAGGGCCGATTACGAAAAGGAGGTGGAGATGATGCAGGGATTCGGTTATGGTGAGCGCTATGCCATTTTATTTTTTATAATGAAAGGAGCCCAGCGAGCACAAACATCCCTGGGATGTTTTGGGATGTTTTGAAAATGTTGGCATGAAGATGTTATTTTGAGACGTAATATGCACTGACCAAAGAGGTCTTTGAAGGATATTAAAGTATTGTTTTTGTGCTTCTGTGGCTTTTCTTTGTTTGCCTACTGAGGGGTATCCCTGGAATGTTTTAGAAATGTAGGCATGAGGATGTATTTTTGAGGCGTAATATGCACTACCCAAAGAGGTCTTAGAAGGATATTGAAAGTATTGTTTTTGTTCTTTTGTGCCCTTTCTTTGTTTGCCCCGCCACAACGTCTCATGCTTACGTCACAATACGATGAATTCTGTTTTGTTTTCGATTTTGTTCTTCTTGTTCGCAATTGGCATTCGCGTTTGCAGCGTGTCACGCTTACATCACGCTGCTAACGAACAGAAAGGAATTTGGTGAAGTTTATTGTGTTAGAAGACTTATTTAGTTTGTAATAATGACCATCAGATGCAAGATGTGTTGTTCGGTGCCTCAGTGTGATCAATATATAAAAGTACGAATTCATCAATACACAGATTCTCCGCAGTTGCAAAATTATGCATCGTGGAGAACATTCCAAAAATTGGGAAACCTATTTCCACCTATGTCTGTGTGTAGTAAGCACTACTCAGAAACCGATTAAGAAAATAATTCCATATCAAGAAAATATTTTTATGTTCAATCTATTTTTGATGCATTTTTTCATTCAAGGGAAATGGAATCCTAATGCAAAAGTTCATTTTGACAAAAGGCTTCAGAAAAGTACCTCGAAAATGTTTTTTTTTACAGCGATTTAATGTGCGCAAGACGCGTTGAAAATGTTCTGTTGTGTCCATGAAAAGGCTTTAAAAAGAACTAGGGATAAGGTACTTTTGTGACATATCAAGGACATCTCGATAATTGCCGCCTGCGGCGGACATTGGATGTTCTATAATAGTTCTATTCATGTGTGTACAGAACATCGCAGTGGAGGTTCAATGTCTCGAAATCTCGTACTTTTAACATCTCTGAGATGTTTCTGTGCTCGCTGGGAGCTAACCATGGTGTGATAGACGATCACAAGTTATATTCAAACTTACCACCTATACAGTGACATTAAATGCAGATAAATACAGGGTGATTCTGGTTTTGACGTACAAGCTGAATTGGGTGATAGATCTCATCATTACAATCAAAAAAGATCATATGAATATGAGTCCGATCTCGGTCAGTAGCGGATCTACAGGTGGCCAAAGTTTCTTAATTTTTTTCTATTAATTGAAATATCTCGCTCACTTTTCAACACGTTGACTGCCATTCTGTTCTCCATGGTATTTTACGTTCGGGCCAGGCGGTAATTTCATATAGGGCAAAAGTTTCATTATTTGGGCCATGTTGCGCAAAGGAAGATATCAACAAATCATGAAGTTCTATGAAAGAAATTCTGAAATATTCGTGCCGCCAGACATTCCACCCGTTGAGTGCCCGAAATCGTCTTCCGTCAACGCACTATCAGAAGAATTTTGCTTGGTCTCAAAACGAATAAGGCTAACGGTCCTGATGGAATTCCACCAATCATCCTCAAAAAATGTGCACCAGAATTAACACCGATTCTCTGCAAGTTGTTTCCATCTCGTACAGGTCGGGTATTTTTCCATCATGCTGGAAGACAGCTAGAGTCCAACCAATCCCCAAAAATGGGAACAAGAACCTGCCCAACAACTACAGGCCCATTGCCCTGTTATCAGTAATCTCCAAAGTGATGGAGAAAGCCATCAATATTGAGAACCCTCTCAGTGGCATGCGATGACTTGGTGTGTTTCAATTTGGGTTGATCGATTGCAATTGATTCAACTGTCATGATTCTTGGAGACCAGTTTGTGACTTCCAGTATTATACTCTAAATCAACAGAAATTGGAGTATGCATTAATCAAATCAAAATCTTCACCTTATAAAGAAAATAAATATCTGATCTACTTGTATTCTTTGAAATAACTTTGGACCACTTCAAGTTATGGATGGATTTCATGCTTCACCTTATACTTCCGAAATTAGCAGAACCCACCAACAGTGAGCTTTACAAACAACTATACTGGGAGATATACTTGCCTACATTAATCATATGACAAGCTTCATCAAAAGAACATGAGAAACCTCTTATGTCAATGAATCAATTGCAGTCGAGAATATCTCGAAAACTTCTCGTCAACATACATCAAGCAATCAGAATATGCACACGTAAAAAAACGAAATGTGATAATAGGGTTGTCTTTGGAGATATTTTTGATGAGGGGTCACGATTTCGCCTTGTAGATGGTTTATCTCGAGACTCAAGAGGAAGTGAAACTCATATAAACTTGTCCTTGGTGAATTCCTCTCAATATGTAATGAACTGTTCGATTTCAACTTCGAAATTCTAGTAGAATAAATCAAATCTAAGGATTTTTTTTTCAATTAACTGAGAATATGAAAATCCCATTCGATTTCAGGAGAATTCATTTGTGACGATCTCCTGCAGTCCCCCCGGTCACAAGATGGCCGAAGAGGTCCAAAAAGGCCTCGAACCATCCTGACGACCCAACAGAGGAGGGCTTTCAAAGCTTCTTTCGAAGTCAGTCCCAAGCCCTGTCGGAAGGTCAGAGAAACTTTAGCCAAAGACACCGGATTGAGCGTTCGAATCGTGCAGGTAAAAATCACCAATGCATGGTCCTTTAGGTAGAGAGTTGTTATACTAATAGCGAATTCCATTGGTACAACTGGCTCGCACTGAGTGCATATTTTGTATTCCATTGGTAAAACTGGTGTCGGGTTTTGAATTCCATTGGAAAACTGGTTCACATATAGTTTAGAGCTCAGTGCAACAATTCTCGCTAGAAAATGGCAGAAACATTGAATATGGAAATTCAAAAATTCAAGATGGTGGCTGCAATATGGCGGATCCAATATGGCGGACGAGTTTTCACAAATTTCACAAATAGACTATGTAATTGTTTTAGAGTTTCTTGTTGGATATAATGAATACTCACCTATGTTGTTTATTCCGAGGTTTATTCTTGATGACCTAGTACAGCCTTTTTAGTTCCTTATAGGAATAATAGAAACGTCAACTTCAAGAACGCATATTGAAATTGAAATGGACGGCTTTTGAGTAGGTTGCAGAAAATAGTTTTCTGTTTTACTAGACAGAAAAGCAGAACACTTAATGCCATGTGAAACATATAATTTTTCCCCTAATTCTGTTCAAATCACGCTTCCAAATACTCCATCATTTTTTGTTCAACCACTGATTACCAATTTGATTCAAATTATTACATTTGCCATCTGGAGAAAAATAACTATGATTTCAATTTCAATTCTGCTATAGAAGAATTCTCAATATTATAGATATACTCCATGTTTTCGAATAAAGTGTGGTTATGCAATTTTTTTGACTGTTTTGCAAGCTATTTTCTGGGTCGAGCGATTCTTTAATCAATTCTGCTATTGGGCCATTTTCTCCAGTATTTTTTCCATGTTATGTGAAAATCATTTATTTTGTCAATAGGTTTGGTTCCAGAACCAGCGTGCCAAGATGAAGAAGATTCAAAAGAAAGCCCGACAGGACAACAAAGGATCCAAGGATCTGGAAAACATTGATAAGAAACTGAACGTCAAAGAAGAGGAACAAAGTGAGTCTAGTATTATGGACCGTTCATTGTTTGCTAATTAACATTGGAATAATGACTCAATACTCTCACCTCTGTTTTCTCATCTAAAACATAATGTTTCTGTTTTATTCATAGTGTTAATGATTTATCAAGATATCAAAATATTCACATTTTAGATAGGGCCCTTTTATGGATTTCAGTATTTCATTATTGAAAAATAATTATTATCACCTGTATCCATTATCTCGTATACAGAGTGTTTCAGAGTTGTGGTGACACAAGCCCAGGTGAGATTCCTCTCAACAAAATATGGAAAAAAAGTTCATATATAAATAAAGGGTGTCCAAGTCCAAGAAAATAGTTTTTCATCAATATCTTGGAATAGATATTCATGTACCAAGGACGAAAGACGGTCTATTATAGTCGAGCCGAGAGGGTACTTCATAACGACGTAGGGTAAATGCACTGGTTCTCGACCAGTTAACCGAAATGTCCACTTTGAAAGATAATCAAATATGATACATGGTCGTGAACCAACATTTAGTTTGAAATGATTATCTACCACAGTGGTCGAGAACTGACTATGGTCAAATTAGTTTTCGACCATCAATAAATGATTTGCAGAAGAATTATTATCTAGGCCTCATTTGATGATCGCGAACTAATATATAACAAGTAGACATGTAAATGAATCAGTATTACGAGGTAGATTTCAGCATTTTTCATAGAAAGTATATAACTAGACATGAACAATTATTCAAGATATGTTTTGGTTCTCGACCACTTTGGCCGAGAAATAAAAGAGCCAATATTTGTAAAACTGGTCCGCAACCACCGTATATTCAACAAAAAAATATTATTTGTGTCCTTTTTTTCTTGAAATACAAATAGAACTTTTCAAACATGAACCATAAGACAGCCTCTGTCAATGACAGACGGTTATCAAATAATTTTCTGTGCGAAAAGATCTACATTTTGTCCCACTCTGCCAGCTATTTAGAATCAAGTGAAGTGGCCAAAAACACATTTTATAGTAATTTTAGTAGTATAAGGAATATGTCTCTTATTATTTTGTCTCAAATGCCAGAACGGTCGAGAACCAGTGCCGGTCGGTTAACCAGTGCAACTACCCTATCTTTTTTTTAGGTTATGACAAACTTATCTTGTTCTCAGGTCCCCGCTCCATCCCGTATTTCAACGAAAGCGGCAGCGACAATGAGACAGCCTCAGACGAGGCCATCCTACAAAACACCCCCAACCCCCATTTCCTCCACATCAAGGAAGAGCTCGAGAACGACAACCCCTTTTTCAAGAGCAATCATAATATGCCGCAACACGGTTTTACAGGTAAAGGCAAAACTCGTATCTCTCCTTCATAAAGAGTGTTTCCGAAATTGGAGCCATACATAAAATGACACGATGAAACTCAAAAAAATATTCATGATTTTTTCAATGTATGTATGTACTGTACATACCAACGCTCTCACCAAACAGAGTGTATATGTCTCATCTGTTTTTTCAGCGTCCAGCAACATAAGTTAAAGTTATATCCCCGGTGCTTTGGGTGCTTCCGACCTCACCGAATGAATATACTTGGGCTCTAGCTACACAGGTTTCTGTCAACATAGAGGTTTTTTTGGTCTTTCTATCTAGAATACATATGTATACAGGGTGTCCCAAAATGAGCCTGCAAAACTTCACCAGTGGCTTCTACGACCAAGAAAAGAAGGAACATTAGTTTCTATGAACATAAGTCGGAAAATGTATGTTGAGGAATAGTTACAGCCTCCTGAAAGGGGGATCCTGAATATGATATTTTATTAATATTTCAGAAATGCCATGAGATAAAATGATGCAATTCGATACAAACACTTTGCTTTCCGTGCTCAATACCGTGAGAATATAACCATTCCACGATTTCATTCAGGGGTGTATAATACAGAATGGGACCAAATGAAAAAAATATGCATACAGAGAGGTTCGAGCAACATTTAATGTCGTCCCACCCTGTGTTATACATTCCTGAATAAAATTTCGGAGGGCTTTGATTTTCATTGCTTTGAGCATAGAAAGTTATTGAAAATTATTTATTGTACTATGAAATGCATCATTTTCACATATCATTTAGGGAATATTGAGGAGGAAATATCATCTTCAGGAGCCCCCATAACTCCTTTAGAAGCGACCGATGTTCTCCAGAACAGTTCTTCCTATTTCCAGTCGTGAAAGGCGTTGGTGGAGTTTGGCAGGATAATTCCGGGACACCCTAGGATACGTATCAATATACAGGGTGTCATGTCATGAATCAAAAGAAGTAGGGTGGTAGGGGAAGTCATTTGCAATCAAACTACCTGTGTATGTGGTTATCAAGTTGTTGATGGTTCGAAAGTTGCGACCCATCGGAAAAAAATTAATAACAAAAAAGCTGTTTTGAATATCCCCATACGTTATACAATTTTGGAATGTGTATGGAATGGGCAACTTTTTCTTATAATTGGTTATCTTCGTGGGGTATTTTCTTAATCTGCCAGCGGCATCTGAGAATCAATCTGAATATTTCATTCAATGACAACACTCAAGGAAAATAAAATTTTCCCATAGGTAATTGAACGAAGTAACACATGTCATAAAACTATTTCTGAAGAAAGGTGCATAATTGGAGATGAAATTTGTGAAAGAAAAAATCACAAATATGACATAGTTTTATTGTTATTCATTCTTCTTATGAAAATGAATAAAAATTAATAACTTTTGAACCATCAACTATTGGATAACCACATATACGGTTCGTTTGATTGGAAATAACCCCCCTTCTCTTGATCCATGACTTATGGGACACTCTGTATAAGAGAGATCTGGAATACCACTGATATCTTCAAGTTTCTCTGTTATTTCATTAATTTCAATATCTCTGAAATGAGAACAAATCAGATGACGAAATCTCACTATTCCTCTTCGGAAATTATTTACTGTATACCAGGTAGTCAACGGAACCTCATCTTTCATCCTATCACACAGCTCTTGGAGGAGTTCATAGTTTCAAACTTCAGATCCCACTGTATATCGCGTGTACTCCCTATAAATACGCCACTGATGGCGTGTGTTGCCAAATAAGTTATATATGAAATTTAAATTGTATGCTTTCACATGTGCGCCTTTCCCCATATATTTGATTGGTAGAGCATGGTAGAGCTATATCGAAAATACTCTTGATGAAATTGAATACGATATTACATTCCACAATTTGGATAGGTATAGGTAGTGGCATAGATGGGAAACTGGGAAAATGAGTTTCTGGAACCAAGCAACAAATGAATATGAAAATTTGAAGGTATGTATAAATTGACATGGTCTACACGTGTGGAATATTTGAACGAAGCGGAGTTGCCACCTCTACTAGAAAGTATCAGCAGGTTGGGTTTATCACACCCTGTATTCCATTGCATTTTCAGATTCTCCCTGAAGAGCTGAATTCATCAATGTATCACACTTATTGGAGTGTAGCGAGAATGATCACAGAGATGTAGGATAATCAAAATCGAGATATTTAATATCGCTCAAAACGAGAGAAAAAATCAAGTCGAGTTGATTTTGAACACCTTATATCGATGTAATCATTCTCGCTAGACCCCGAGTGTGGTGTTTGAAATATCAAACTTGCTGATACTTTCTAGTAGAGGTGGCAACGCCACATCGGTAAAAATATTTCAGACGTGTAGATCATGTCAATTTATACGCACCATCAAATTTCCAGATTCATCTGTTGCTTGGTTTACCAAAAACATATAGCCGGGATTGGCGCAGTGGAAGAGCGTCCGTCTCACGACCGCAAGGTCGTGGGTTCGATTTCCAGCACGGGCAAGGAACTTTTTTCAATATTTTATTTACGAATTGAATATTGTAAAGTTTCGGAGCATCGGCTGGGGATAGTCCTGCACGATTCGCTGTTGCGTTCCAATTAACAGTGCTGCTCATAAAGTGGCGTATGGAGTTAGTAACAAAGCCTACACAGAACACGCAGAAAGATAATTATGATGATGTGGTTGTGAGCATCAGAGAAGAAGTAGGACGGTGTATGTAGGTGGGGGTGGAAAAACTACCAGCTGAGCGTGAGAGCGGGTCAGCTGCTTAAGTAGACCTCGGTCTCGGGGGTTAACGATGATAGTTAGCAGGCCTGCCACTGCGCATATGGTAGTGAGTACATTACTAGCCTACAAAACACAGCTGAAAAACTCTGAAAAAGAGAGTTGATGGGCGGTGCCTGAAAAGGATGTTAGCCAGCTCTCTTGAGCGAACCACATCATTCATTGAAAACACTTGGGGTTTGCAAAAAGGTCCCATTGGGGACTAGTTGCTGACGTGGAAACGTCCCCCACCAGTACCAGTACCAGTACCAGTTACCAAAAACATCTAATTAACGCCTTGTATATAGCGAAATTGCAATAGGAATGTTTTCATTGAATCTACTACCACGGTATTCTGTGCTACTACTGTAATATACGATGGTGTTTTTCCTTAGCCATTTACCTCTCATTCCTACGAGAGAGAGAATGAACCATTTCGTAACTATAACATTAACATTATACTAACCAATATTTTGCATTTTCAATCGACCGATCATGTGATTTCTGTGAAATTCAAGTACAACCATAGATTCATGTTAGCTGATGATTTGATCATTATACAGGGAAAAACCAAAGTTACTATTTCATCCTTCATTTCTAAATGCCCTGTGGCGATATTGAGTGGATGAACTTGGCAACATTATGCTTTGGATTGAAATGTGATCCCTTCTAAACCCAATAGTTTTTGTTTCACATCGATATCTTAGTTTTAAGAGAAGATACGAGTGTTTTGAAATCTTATCAATCAACAACTTGAAGAATTGACGTCACTCATTTGTACCTCATCTTCTTACCGCTTATCGGAAAACTTATCTTTAACAAAAAACAAACAAAGCAGACCTGTAGACAATAAAGAGTATGACCTCCTCGAGTTCGATTCCAAATTTCCCAAGTGGTCTTGAAGAATTGCCTATAATACTCCTTGAAGGGCGAATCGTAGCTCTTGAAGTATATCTCTAACAAGGCCGGACAAAGGCAAATGAGCCTCTGGAGTTCATCCCTAAGATGCTCTACAGGTTCTGAATTATGGTTGATATAAATTTTAAATAGTCCAAACTTTCTTGAAACACTTGTTATTGACGTGAATCTAGAACCATTGTGTGAAGAAGGGAGGAAAAATTATCACAATTCAATTCAAAACAAGATGAAGCAGAAGGTTGGAGAATGGTTCTGAATTATTTTCAATTGAAATACTAAAAATCCATACTTCCTTGAAACATTTGTATCTTCTTTTAAAAAGTGGTTATCGACGTAAATAAAGAACCATTGTGTCAAGCAAGGATCACACTTCTATCCAAAACATAATGAAGCTAAGTTCAACCACTCACCTTCTCCACAGGGTGTTAGGAAGTTGATGATGGAGAAGTAACTTTTATTTTTCCCTGTATAATGATCAAGCTGTCAGCTTCTCTCAGGACCTAATATTCAGGCTAACATTCCGAATTATGAATATACGATTTGGTCGAAAATTGGTTTTGTCTGCCGATGAGTGTCTAAAGCCCGTTATACAAATGACAGTGGTATCTGAATTGTCAATCCTAGCCAATCGAAATCATCTAATTATTGATTGGTAAAGGTATGTATTTTTCCTGTGACAGGTCTGGAAGCGAACAAAAGACAAGATGAAGCCTTCAACATGGGCATACCATTTCCTGCTCACTTGGAAGCTGAACAGCAGTGCATGTTCCTGAATCCGCCTATAGCTCACCAGAATCCACCACAGACTACTGCAGGGCTGAACCCTATCGATCGACTCTATTCCATGCAGAACTCATACTTTTGCGGCGACGAGCACATGGAACCTTGAAACTGATGATATGATCCGTCGTTTCATATATTATTATGAACGCTTCCTAAGCATAAGCATATTGAAAAGCTGAATCATTAAAAGATATAGATACTTATATCTACATCATATTAAGGTGTAGCTCAGCATTATTTTCACAAAGTATTGATATCTTCGCAATTTAGAAAAAAAGAATATTTTGAAAGTCACTTCATATAGTAATTTTTCAGGACTTTGTATGGATAAACGATTCATTTTATGAATATTGATGAGAATGCGATTTTAAATTTGGTATAATATTAAATTCACACTGATAATACTCATTACTAGATTTTATTCAGAGTGTATTTCCAGTGAACTATTTGTATTTTCAATTTGCCATGTTATACTGAATTATGAGGCTTTTCTGTTTACTTTCTCGTGATCAGTTTGTTATATTTGTAAATATTATACACCCTTTGTTTTATTGAATGCGTTATTGTGTTCAAATATATTTTATAGTTTTCTGTGACTACCTATTTATTTCACCTAATAGATAGAATATACCCGAATCTCGTATCCTTGGTTATTATCTCGCGGATTCCTCATACACCAATATTGGTTATTGATTTTTGACATAATGATTGAGACCAGAAGAAAGTCCCATATCAATTAATAGATAAAATAAAAAGAAAGTACTGCTGTTTGTTGCTAACAGATCTTCCTACCACCAAAAAGTCTCAGTAAGACATTCTGAGATGATATTTATAAACTGGTCGGTAGTGACAGAGTCTTTTACAGAGAATTTTTTAAAGTTGGTTCTCTATTCTCATTTTCCAACACAAAAATGCTAAATTAGAGAGAACAAGGAAGCAATCGACGCGATCAATCTTTTTTGCCCTGATGGGCAACTCACTGACATGAGCTGGATTAAAGGTATACTCCTAGGAGTCAGCTTCCTCTAGACTGTCATCAGGGTTGTAAAACAAAAATCATCGGCGAGGCCTGCATCAGCCGCCTCTGAGGGCTCCCTTGGAGGGTAGTTCTGTGGCCTATCTAAGTGTTTTACATTGTATAATTTACATTTTTATCGTGTCCAATGTCTTCTTTAGGAAATGTTTGTTTTTATACACATTTGAATGAATGGAATTGAAACGGTAGTGACAGATCTTTGTCAACGTTTGTTGATGTATGCAACATCACTATACAGTGCATGTGTACACCACAATTCTATGCAAGGTAGTTTATCGTAATACTTAAAGATCCAGGAATAGTAATTCACGTAACAAGTCCGGAAATACTGTTTTTCATTTCATACCCATGCTGGAGATATAAATACACCATATTATAATCAAGTATTTTTGTTTTGATCAGGAAAGCCTTCAAGATTCACATACTTGCTTGATCTGTGCTTCATTCGTTATTCTCGGGATTGATTACTTGATTTTGAATAATCACGGCCAGCAATAGTTTTTTGTCTCACAAATCGATATTTTTTATCATTATCTGATTACCGAGCCAAACACAGTGGAGTATGGAAAATCATTTTTGCTCAGAGAAAAAGCGCCCGGAAAGTGAGCACTTCTTGGACGGTTGCCAAAAGAATGATATATAATACACAAGGAAAGATAATGACGACCAGCGATACTTCATATAGTGCATGATTTTGAGTGACTTCGAGAATTGAAAGGATTCTGTTACCTGGTGTGTGATGAGGACTCGACCTTCCTACCGATTGATCAAAAGATGTCCCGTTAGTTCAATTAATCATTCCAGAATTACGTCATTTGACAGGTTGCTGAGGGGCAAACATTGTATTTTGTCAAGATCTGTCATAGAAAACCAGAATTAGTGAGATCGTTTTTCTTGGAATCCGAGTTGAAACCAGAAAGAATTTCATAATTTCGTTTGGTGAAACTGTTATTATATTGTGGATGTGGCAGAGAGACGGCCTGGGCAATGTTCATCAAAGGTAATCTAACAGATGGTTTGCATGCCCCTCAAGAAACCATGTCAAAATCACGTGTTCTGGAATGATCAATTAGAGGTTGTGAGTTCGACTCTCACGGGAGGCGGTGGATATTTTTATTTTTCCGTTGTCACTCAAAATTAGGGCTCTTCATCATCTTCATTATTATGAAAAAATAATGAACATATGTCCTCAAATCCTGTAGATATTATCCATTAGCTGCATATAAATGTGAGACATATAACTCGATTATATTTCACTTGTATAATCATATCTAATTCGAATTCACACATGGAATGAATCCAAACAAAACATAGCTCCAAAAGTATCTATTCACGATTCTTGAATCAATCTCATAGAGTTGAAAGGAAATTTCCAACAATGTAGTCTCTACAACATTCATCAAGTAAAAGGGCATGTTTCAGGCACTACGGTCCGTCATCAGCCCTACAAAGTTAACACACTAGCCATATGGTAGAAAGGAGAGTTATAGTACTCGCGTGGGGAGGACAAACCATATACATCAATAAAATACTAAAAAAAATACAAAAATTGTTGGTACTATGACCGAACAGGGTATCCATATAAGGGTGGCTACAACCAACCATGCACCCGCCAAGGTGGGGTGGGTAGACCTCCTAGATAACCATCATCCACGATCGAGGCGTGGGATCGGAAAGACCGTCGGTCAAAAACATTATTGATTTTTCTCTTTAGCAAGACATCCTATTATTTTGGTGAAAATATTCTGGAATTGTATCGTGCAGGGTCAGATGTCAGATCACCATGACGAAACGTAAAAGAAAGAAACTTGAACTTTGGTAACAAAGGACAAGAAACCAGAATGAGTCACACGGTAAGTCAACAGTCAGGATGAAGGAAGCTGGCGCGAGACAGGGCCATCAAGTCTGTTGACTGTGAGAAAACTCAGAGTTCAGAGAGATCAAAACAATCAGGTGAGGTCATCCAAAAAAGAAATACAGCTTACAACTAGAAGACTCGCACAGAGCTCTCGCTGGTTCGGCTCACGTGTAACGAAATTTTACTGGGTGAGCATAATGAAAACATGAGCCCATGGGCGTATTCACTCTACCTGCCTTATTGAAGGAAGTTCCAGTGATTTGATACAAAGAAGGACCTATAACCAATCTCGCGATCTTGTCGCAGTGTTTGTATAATCTTGTATGACAATCGTATTCATTTGGCAAACTAGTATTTCATGTGATATTCGAGAGATCTTATGGCCTTCATCTGCGATATCCATTGATAATGTTTCGCCCTCAACATAGAAATAACTTTCAACTCATCGAGATAATAAACACATCACAACAATATAAATAGTTTGTAGCAGAATACTCAGTATATGATGTTTCTAAGAGACATGTTTATTATTCAATCGTTCATTTATTGAGTTGAGACCAATTTCCAATTTGATAGCCTTTCTGGGATAGTATCCAGAAATATTATCATATCCTTAATATTACTGATAGCCCTGGTATTAGGTAAGTTATTCTACGTTCATATAAGTGATCTAGAGAATGTAAAGAATGTAGGATCTCCTTTCCAATGTGTCAAAGAAATGTTGAAGCAAATGTCATCATATATTAGATTGGAATCTGATTTTCAAAGATCAATAAATCACGGACTGAAGGAGTGTGTTTCATTGCAAACCATCACAAGTTTGAACAAATTGAAGACAGCTAAAAAGTTAACGTTCACTCCTGATGCTGCGACATGTTCCTAATATCCATTCTTATCTAACATGCATGTTGGACCTCTATACTAGAAATGTACATCGTTTTCTGTACATTCTGTATATAGAACCATTCTTATTCATTGAAGGATAGCTTATCTATTTGTCAACAATACTATTATTTATACACCTAATATAGGTACTCATAATATGCGTCCATCATCAATCAGCAATCAAAATCAATCTTTTACAACGACGTGTTCATCATATTTTTTTCAGATATATACATTGAAGGTCTAAGTACTCAGGTGTTGTTTTCCTGTTTCCAGAAGAACACCTGCAACTCAAGATGACAGTTCCCACAAACGAATTTTATCTAATCGAGTTTATCGACAAGCATTTTGTTACAACAAGTGTCATCAAAGTTCTCCGACACTTTCAGTGGGTGTTTTTCTTTGTGATAAAATGTCATTAGATTTGGAGCAGGTCTGAATAAATAGCCTTGAATGATTGATCGATACCATAGGTGATTGTGAATTATCTATTCAATCCAATACGCGTATCCGAATTCAAACAGTAAATGATATGAATTGAATAATTATAATTATACTACACAGTTAGACCAATAGCCAATCCAATTCTGTCAGGATTCTACACGTGTTTCACTAATTATAAGATAGATAGGTGGATAAATACGTCGATAAATTCGTCTTCTTCTTGTTTCATCAACGTCGTTCTTTTTCTGCTACTAAGACTAATCACCGATGCCAGTGAGCACACTACTATACCAATGATGGTGCTACTACCAGAAATTTTGCTGGCTCCTCTGGCACAGTTTCTTCTTATGTTCGAATCAGAGATATAGGGATCTTTAACGAGTCCAACATCCATGGCCTCGGGATCGCCGGCTTAACGTCCTTTCCGAAGGACGGCATATTGATACCATACCTTGTGCTATAGCTAAGAATGCTATAATTATTATGCTATTTCGCCACAAATGTGCGGGCTTACACGGCGTTTCTTTGAATGGTCATCCATCCAAGTACTAACCGAGCTCGACGATATCGAACAGCTGGTGCCTAACCTGTTGAGAAGCTATGGTGATGCCCTGATAAATACTTTGTTGGTGTGTGTGAACAAAGCAACTTGCCTTCGATTTTACAAGATGACCTTCAGCCAATTGTGTTCTCTGTAGGCTCTGCTAAGCTTGACCAGCAATTTCAATCTGATCGTAGTAGTGAACTATCTGTGACCGAGGCTACGGAATTTATATTTCGTTTCTTGAAATGATTCCTGCCTTGCCATGGGCTCTCCATCTCACAACTTTCAACTCGTTTTCTTAATTTGTGTTGAAGACAAGATCCAAACTAAATATGCGGTCCTGTAATACAATCTATACATACGACATATCAACTACGGCAAAATTCTCGAAGTGGAATGATTATTTAACTGAGTCATTTCTACGAAATATTAAAATAATTCTACAGGAATTTCATATGAGCAACTGGAAAACTATACTTCCCTGGCCATCATGAATTTTAATCAATGTAGAAATTGTGTCGTTTTTTACATTTACTATGGTTCTACATCAAAAAACGACCGAGTCAATTGAAAAAAAAATAATTTAGAAATGTTTTTTTCCAAATTCATAATTATACAGTGGTTAAATGAAATAGGTAAGCTATCTTTAGATCTCTATCTCCTTTATCATGGACTACTCTAAAGTATTTCTAGGCTTCCATTTCCACCTAGGAACTGGAACAAATTGGTTTCAATGCAACTCAAAAATCTCATAAGGTTGACAGCTCGGCAAACTTATAGAGTTATAGCTAGACCACTCTTCAATCGTTTAAAATTTACAGGCA